ACCCACACTGGGGATATGCCCGCAACCAAGGTACATGCCCTTGACCAGAATCGAACCTGGGACCGTTCAGTCCGCAGGCCGACGCTCTATCCACTGAGCCAAACCGGTTAGGGCATCTTGGTTAAGGAAGATCCTAAGTGGGAAATCTCTCAGGAGGATCATTTTCTCTAACTGGGTGCAGGGCCAGGAGCTGAGAGTCTGAATTGCCCCCTGCTGCTGTGTAGAGTTTGGGAAACCTTATACTTTATGAAGGGCTTGTAGCTACAGTGGCTGCTGGCACCAGTGCTGGTGGAGGTAGCTGCAGCTGTTGCTTGGCATGGAGCAGGGTGTGTTCAGCTGCTGGCAGTGGGTGGGGGATAGTGGTTCAGCTTAGTTTTGCAAAAATCAAATGGTTACTGATGGAGATGTATGAATGGGAACTTAAAATGCATAAGCAAATACATAGAAGAGAATGGGATGCTTCTAAATATTTAATAGCACAGGATTAACAAAGGAATAGGACTGATTCTAGATTTCACTAGACTTTTAAGGGAAGAGAAGGGAGTATTTACTGAAAGAGAATATTGGGGGAGCTTCTGAGAAGACTATTGCTATGAAAGTAAATGGGAAAAAAAAGAAAAGAAAGTCCATGGGGCTGAGAGTTTGAACTAAAGATGATCAATAAGGTGAAATATTAAGGACAAAAATATGAAGAAATTAAGGTACTTTTGGGTAACTTTGAAAAATAAGTGAGATGTTCACAATTGAAGTCAAATGAATGTTGTTAATTGCATGAGTCAGCAGTTACAGATCATATACTTAAGTAATGCAGCTGAGAAAAGAAAGATAAGAAAGCTTCCATCAATTACTTATTAATTAATTAATTTATTCATTCATTTATTACATATTTAGACAAGTATTGGTATAAGCATTTGTGTACAAATTTTTTTTAGAAAACCTGTTTTCAATTTCTCATATATATGCTTAGAAATGAAATTTCTGGATCATTAGGATTATTCTACATTTAACTTTATGAAGAACCTCCAAACTGTTTTCCAAACCAGTTGCAGGTTTTCACATTCCTATCAGCAAGGTACAAGAGTTCCAAGTGCTCCAGATGGGGATGGGGCTTGGAGGACTGGGTGAAAAAGGGGAGGGATTAAGAAGTACAAGTTGGCATTTACAGAATATTCACAGGAATGTAGAGTACAGCATAGAAATTATAGTCAATGATATTGCAATAAGTATTTATGGTGCCAGGTGGGTACTGAAAATATCAAGGGAAACACATTGTAAATTATCTAATATGAAATAATATTAATGTAAACTGTAATTAAAAAATAAAATTTAAATAAAAAATAAGTAAATGAAATATATGTATTATGAATCATTTCATCTAGGTCATAGCTTGCCTTTTTATTTCCTCAATAATATCTTTTTAAAATTTAATACACCTTTTTTCCCCAGCATATTTAGCTTTAAGAGAAAAAGTGGAAAGCATAGAAAATTTCCCTGCATCCTCCCAAATTAGTTACCCTATTATTAACATCTTGGGTTAGAATGCTATTTGGGTTACCATTTATGAGCCAATATTAATATATTACTATTTATTAAATCTTACAGCTTACATTAGGATTTATTCTTTTTTTCTGTTTCTGTTTTGCTTGTTTATTTTATTTTTTTAGATTCAATTATTGATATATATTTATTGCCATTTTATTGTTCATATATTTATCGTTATCTTTTTTCTTCCTATTATTCTTGAAGAAGTATTACATTAAAGTATTACACTTCATAGCTTTTTTTTTTTGTCTAGGAAGCTACATGTCCTTCTATTTTTAAAGGTTCTTTCAAAATTATAGAATTCTTTATTATAGCAAGGTTTTTTTTTAGTGGGATTTATAGGCAGACAAGTGTTAAGAGGAAAAAATTATAGGTAGATCAAAAGGAAATGGGATATCTTGTAAATAATATTGGTTAATTGGATAAATCTCTACATTTCATAATGTCTAGAAAGTAAATATAAAACTACTTTATGTACAAACCATTCATGAATGTACCTTTATGTACTCCTGTTAGAGGCATTGCTTTTACCAAGGATATGCTGCAGAGATTCCAAATTCAGTCGTGACACTAAGCACCTGTTCTGGACTCAGGTAATGGCAACTTCCAGAGATGTGCATGATTGACAATCTTGTGTAACACTTTAATTTTTCCAAATTCCTTGAGTGATAAAGCAAAGAAAATATGGGCTTTGGTTGTGTTTCTTCTCATATGTTTTCTTTTCCTTGTCCTCCTCTTATATTTTCTATTTTTAAAAATAATTTTATTGATTTTTTTACAGAGAGGAAGGGAGAGGGATAGAGAGTTAGAAACATCAATGAGAGAGAAGCATCGATCAGCTGCCTCCTGCACACCCCCTACTGGGGATGTGCCTGCAACCAAGGTACATGCCCTTGGCCGGAATCGAACCTGGGACCCTTCAGTTCCCAGGCTGATGCTCTATCCAGTGAGCCAAACCAGCTAGGGCATTTTCTATTTTTTGTTGTCTCTATCTTAAGCATACGGCCATAAAATTTATTCAGAAAAAGTCTACTAGTACAAAGAATATTCATATGGATTAGCTCTACAAGAACCACAGAGACTTGTAGATGACATAATAGACAGATGGTATAAAATTAGGTCAAAAATTAATTTGCTTAAAATAGGATGATTCCTAGATTTAATTAGACCGTAAGAATAACTATCAAAATTTGTATAAAAGTTTTTATTTAGTATTGATTTAAATTTCTCAAAAGGAAAATCTATATTAATTACTTTTATGTCTTTTTATGTATTTAAATATTCAGGGGATTATTGCAGTTGGTGAATGTCAGTTACGGAATTGAACCATTGGAATCCACAGCTATGTTTGAGCATATGCTTTATCAAATAAAGAATAATAAAGCTGATTTTCTCCCCTTACAAGACAATTATACTATGATCCAATTGGGAGATCAGGCGTACAGGATTCTGGTGAAGTCAGAAGTAAGCCACCATATTCTGAAATTTTCATTTTGCTATGTTTGATAAACTTATTCTCATAGAAATTTGTTACATTTAGAAAACAAATTTAAACATATTAATTATATTTAAACCTTCTTTTATAATATACTTAATTATTTTATGAATATATGAATAAGAATATGTTTCGTCATATATAATTTGGAAGTATTCTTTTCCCCTAATTTCAAGTTATATATATGAAAGCATAGTATGCTAATTAGAACAGAAGTTCTTCCAGACTTCCTTCCGGGACATAGCCGGGTCTGCAGCAGCTGCGGGATCGAGCCAGGAATTCAGGCAGAGAGGGAGGGATTGAAGCTGCCGCAACTAGGAAGGCTTACTCTTGCAAGAATTTCATGCATCGGGCCTCTAATATATGTATACAGTTGCATTGTTATTGAATTTACATCCTACTAATGCAATGATACCAAGATTTGCTGATTATTATTTTGTCCATAGTTCCCTCTCCAATACATATTCTAACTTTGTATAAAAGTATTATTTTGTTAGAAAATTTAAAAGTAGAAAAATTCAAGATGTTGTCCCAAATATCATTATCTAAAGATAGTGTTCTTAGAATTTTGGAATACTTGGTCTAATTTTTACAATGTATCCTATCTAATAAAGAGGGAATATGCTAATTGTCCCTCAAGCCATTACAAAGATGGTGGTGGCCACAGCCAATAAGGAGGGAATATGCTAATTGACTGCCCTTCCCTCAAAGATGGTGGCACCCACAGACACAAGATGGCTGGCAGGGGAGGGCAGTTATGGGCGATTAGACCAGCAGGGGAGGGCAGTTAGGGGTGACCAGGCCAGCAGGAGAAGGCAGTTGGGTGCGACCAGGCTTGCAGGGGAGGGCATTTAGGGGCGATGGGGCCAGCCGGGGTGGGCAGTTGGGAGTGATCAGGCTGGCAGGGGAGCAGTTAGGCATGAATCAGGCTGGCAGGCAGAAGCGGTTAGGGGCAATCAGGCAGTCAGTCAGGTGAGCGGTTGGGAACCAGCAGTCCCGGATTATGAGAGGGATGTCAGGCCTAAACCAGCAGTCGGACATCCCCCGAGGGGTCCCAGATTGGAGAGGGTGCAGGCTGGTCTGAGGAACACCCGGTCAATGCACGATTTTCGTGCACCAGGCCTCTAGTCTTATAAATGTGGATTTATAGATTTATAAATTCTTTTTTAAACAAAAAATGATCTAACCATTCATGTTTCTTTGAAATTCTTTTTTTGCTCTTCAGAGGACAATGCATTCTTTCACTTATTAAATTACTAGTGCCCTGGTGCATGGATTCTAAACATTGAAAGGAAATTAATTACAAGGTGGTCAGCAGGGTGAGACTGGGTGAAACCAGCCGGACATGCCCTGGAGCCAACCTCCCCTTGTCCCTCCCTAGCCGGCCACACCTGGGGTGGCACCACGGATCGAAGGGCATCTTTGGAGTGAGTGGGGTACCTCTGGCAGGTTGGATCCCTCAGCCTGGCCTGCGGGGATGGGGCCAAAACGGGCTCTCCAACATCCCCAAGGGTCCTGGATTGCGAGATTGTGGTTCTCGGGTGACACACTCCAGAATCAGGCTCCCTCTTCTCTGGTTCTAGGGTGCGTCACCCAAGAACCACCTCTGCCAAGTCACAGCAGCTCCTGTGTTGAGTGTCTGCACCCTGGTGGTCAGTGCGCGTCATATGGACCAACCAACCGGCCAGTCAGGAAGTCACTTAGCTTTTTATATATAGAGATTTTACGTGTCTTATTTTAAGTAATATTGGTTAACATTGATTAACATATTATATATATGTAAAAATTGCCACTTAATTCTTGTTAAAATACAGCATGATCAAATGACTTTAGGAAACAATCTGGCACTTTTTTTTTTTCACAAGGAAACACAGACATGAAAATTTATTGCAGTCACTTAACACATTGGTGTTAATACTATTTCCCAACTAAAAAGAAAAAGGCATCTGGACTGTCTCCAGTTTGCCCTCACAGAAAAACCATAATCTACAGTATCAGAAACTAGTTGGTAAATTAAAATATTGTAACAACTTTTCAGAATCTTCTTTTTCATGATACTCATTAGAGCATCATCTCCATGTCAAAGGATTCACTCTGGGGCTGCTGAAACCTGGTTGAATGACCTCATCATTGTGTGAAGAACCTCTTGGGCCTCCTGGTTGTGTTGCTATACTCTTCCAGGGTGAGGGGGGGACAGGGTGTGAGGACTCCTGTGGCATTCAGTCTGAGGGAAGGGGCAGAGGAAGAGGCCTGCAGTCTGTCCCTTCCAGAGGGAGCACAGTGGCCAGAGACCCAGGGTGCCAGCAGCAGGGGCCCATAGGGTCAGCACATTGTGAGCCTCCAGAGGGCAAGGCATGGAGGGGCTCTCAGCCTTCACATGCTGAATCTTCTATCTCCACTGCTCCACCACCTCAGCCCCACCTTTGGCAGGGCATAGAAGGAGGGGGCCCCACCTGCTGGGGGCCCCAGCCTGTTGGGGGGCCCAGCCTGCTGGGAGCAGTGGCTACACCAGGCTGCTCAACTCACGCCCTGCTCCAGCAATCTGGCTCTTTCCTACCACTTTGCACCCCCACAATTACTATATGACTCAGGAATTCCATTTCTAAATACCAAGAAAAAGGAAAGAAAAAAATTGCACAAAGACCTGTACATTAATATTTATAGCAGCTTTATTTATAAAAGCTGAAATGGCTACAAATGATCAACAGGTAAATGTACAAGCAAGTTGCAACGGATATCTTCAATGGCACACTACTTAGGAAGATACTAATGAATTACTAATAATCACAAGACAGATGAATCCTGAATGAAAGAAACAAGATAGAAATGAGTACATGCCATATGATTTCATTTGTATGAAATTCTAGAATAGATCATTGTAACATATGTTGAAAAACAAACAGCAGATCATTGGTTTCCTTGAGCTGTGTGGCTATTGACTTGGAAGAGGGTAATGACAACATTCTTTGTCTTACTTATGGAAATGGTTACATGGCTGTATATATTAATACCAACAACGTAACTGTATACTTAAAATGGATGAATTTTATAGGGTTTAAGCCACAATGAAGTCAATATAAATACCTAAAAGTATAAAAATGATGAGAGGCAATGTTTGGGGGAAAGTTGATGGGACTTTGTTAGCTTGAAGGTTGGAGCAGGATTTTGGAGGAAGGTTTTGAGAGAAAGGAAACATGGCTTCTCCCTCATTGCAGCAACAATTTTTTTGAATATTCTAATTATAAAAAATATAAAGTAAAAGCTTCTGATTGGTGCCTAAAATATTTGTTTGGAATCTCACCTGCTTATTTAATTAATCGGCATCCATTCTTTTATTTTCCTATTATATGTATTTTTATGTGTCAACAAGAGGCCCGGTGCATGAAATTGTGCACTGGGGGGGAGGTTATCCCTCAGCCCGGCATGCACCCTCTCGCAGTCCGGAACCCCTCAGGTGATGACTACCTGCCGGCTTAGACCCGACAGTTGGAAATCCCTCTCGAAGTCAGAAACCCCTCGCTCCTTACTGCCTGCCTGCTTGCTGATCCTTACCACTATTGAGAAAGTTGGATTCCTTCCTCTGTGGTCATACAACTGTCACACACCAGGCAGTCACTCAGAAATAACTTGGCATCAATCAACTTATGGAATTCTCCCTTCTCTCCATTCTACTGAGCCACACTCCAGGCGTTGACTGTGGCATTCTCTTGGTTATTACTTTTTTTCCAAAACGTTACAAAGTTTATCCTATACTAATAAAAGACAAACATGCAAATTGACCGTACTTTTGCTACACCTCAAGCCATGCCCATCAGCCAATCAGAGCTACTATATGTAAATTAACCCAACCAAGATGGTGGCCGACAGCCACGGAGCTGGAGCGAGCAGGAGGCTTGCTTGCTCCAGTGATGGAGGAAGGCAAGGTTCCCCGCCTGTCGCGGCCCGTCTCTAAGCTCCACTGAAAGCAACAAAGTTTCAATTATAGAAGGTAAACAAACCCCAGATACCTGCTTTCAGCCAGCCGTGGCCACGGAGCTGGAGTGAGCAGGAGTGGGTTGTCCCTGGTGATGGAGGAAGCCAAGTTTTCCTCAGGCCTCCGCTAAAGGCAACAAAGTTTCAATTATAGAAGGTAAATAAATCCCAGAATATAAAAGAAAAAAAGGAGAGGCTGGGAGCTTACATCGCCAGGGTGCTTGGCCAGCCTGAAAACGGCCCTCAGCCCCTCACCCAGACTGGCCAAGCACCCCAGTAGGGCCCCCCCACCCTAAAGGGGGTGTGGCCAGCCTGAAAACAGCCATCAGCCCCTCACCCAGGCTGGCCAAACCTCCATGGGGTGAGGGTCCCCACTGGGGTGGACATCCTCCGAGGGGTCCCACACTGCAAGAGGGCATAGGCCGGGCTGAGGGACCCCCCCGAGTGCACAAATTTTTGTGCACCGGGCCTCTAGTATGAAGATAACATACAGAGATACAGCCTCCTTTGTAGGAACAGGGAAGGAAGGGTGGTTAAGTAAGGCACAGGGAGCTGCAGCAAGCACCAGCTGTGGGGAGGGCCAAAGGGGACAGGGAGAGGAAGTTGGCCCTGGGGCTGAGGCCCTAGAGACATTGCTCAGGAAGTAGGAATGTTCTCTGAGTGTCACGTTCTGAAGCTGAACTAATTGGTCAAGCTGAGGCAGAGGTGAGTGGCCATATCAGCCATTTTTGGTGCTGTTTACCCTTTCCCACCCCAGCTCTGTTGTAAAACCCAGAGCCCTGTATTTGCAAGGTCCCATCCAGAGCAGAGGCCCTGGAAGGGGGTGAGAGGAAGTGAGCAGGGCAAGTTTGAAAGTGGATATGCCTGTGTTCTGAGGATGGCTGGAGACAGTGGTGAGAGGTAGCAGGGGAAGGGCTCTCATACATACCCTTCAGGCCACAGGTGAAGGAGGTCAGGGGAGTAGGGTAGGGATGGGGCAACATGGCCCCAGCCTCTTAGGTATCCCTGTCTGTCCTCTGCAGTGTAAACGGAGGAAAGGGTTGCCTCTGAGAAGGGGTCAGGTCAGGCCAGGTGACCATCTTGAGTTCTGGCTGAGGTGATGGTCCTCACCTTGAGATGCCATCTAACTGGTGATGGCAGAGGGCCCAGTGCCTCCTCGCTTCTTGAAGAACATGTAGTCAATGAGGAATGTGGCTCCCAGCAGTACAGCCTTCACTCTCACGTCCAGATCCAGCGGGAACTGCAGGCCAAAGTCATCTGCATCCGTGAGGGCTTCTTGGAGCAGCCCTTCCCCCAGATCAGAGTCTGAGGGCTGGGAGGAGGGATCAAGAGGTCTGCATTTCAGCCGCTTGCCAGTCACCGCTCACCAGTCACCGCTGCCACTGATTGATCAGCTCCAGCTCCCTCAGTTCCCTAGCCTGGCATTCGGTTGACCTTTGGTTGTTTTGGATGTTATGGATCCTGGGTTTTTATATATGAGGATATTTATTTATCTATATCTCTGTGTGAACATATATAATGCACATAATTATAAACCATATAAGAATTTAAAAATGTTTTATTTATCTCATGTCCTCTGTTTCACAGAAAAAACCGGATATTGCACTATTAACAAGAACTCTGAAAATACAAATCATTATGGAAAAAGCCTTGGTATGCATTATTGATACATTTCATCATATCTTTGTTTTGTGTTTAAATTCAAAAGGAATAAGAAACATCCTTTCTTTGCAGTGCAGATATAATTTAAAGTGTTCAAAATGTGTATTTCAATACAGCAGGGCATAAATATATGTCAATTGCCTCTTCATTGAAATGCGCAGACCAGTATTTATGGTATTGATATCTAAATCAGTATGCAATTCCTGTAACACTGTGTAACTTTGTATGTGTGGGAGGCTTCTACTACACTATAATACATTGGATTATAACTAACTGCAGTTATTTCCAATCCACCCCAAATTGTGGTGGTGGTGAAATTTTCTTTCCTAAATTGATTTCCATTTTAAAACAAGTATTTCTTTTATTACTCAATTGGTGATTTCTGTTATTGAGTATTTTCTTTCATAAGATTATTTTATGCTTTATAAATACTTGTGATGCCTGGTGGAAG